GTGTGTGTGTGTGTTAACCTGAGGTTGGGTCTCCATCCGTGAGGAGTATGAGGATAGAAGCCGAACCTTTCCTCGGGTTCTCATTCAACATACGTGATCCATCCAACAATGCTTCATTAATATTTGTGCCTAAAGCATGTAAAACAACAACATCACTTTGGGGGGCAAATGGTTACATGAGTCCAAATAAAACTTATTTGAACAAGACATGTTGAAATTACCTCCATGCTCTCGAATGTTCCCTGCAAATTCTTTGGCGCTTTTCACATTTTGTGAGTTGGCCTGAACAAGTTCTTGCTTCCAGTAATACAGGGAGCTATCAAAAGTGATGAGACCAAAGAAGTCATCCTCTGCCAGGTCATTCAGGATATGGATTAATGCCGTGCGGGTCTGAGAACAACCATTTTTAATTTATCCATAAATGAAATAACAACATTTGCTGAAATAGTTTCAATCCAAAATAAAACAATTTTACAAAACTCCAATCCCCGTACCTGTTCTATTTTCTTGCCACGCATGGAACCACTTTTATCAATGACAAAGACAACATTCTTTGGAATGCGGGCAAGTTGCGATGGAGCAAAGTGATGGACGAAATATCCACTTGATGTCTGACGAAAAAAAAAATAAAATCTCTTGTTACACCTAATACAGTCATACTGCAAAGAAAATAACATTGCAGGCAGATACACCTTTATTTCCCAAATAGATCCAATAGAAAAGTCGAATAGAAACAAAACTACAACCACAACAGACATCAAAATACATTAAAAGACATTACCTTGATGTCCCCCAGTGACCTGTCTCTGTTGACGTCATAAACTATAACCAGATCTCCGTTCATACCCTTGTCTCCACAGCTGTCACATGTTTTTTGTTGATCCACTGTCGGGTAGAAATGAACCCAGGCCTACAAAAGTTCAAGATCAAAATCAATAAAGTGGAACTGTGAGTTTAGAGGAATAGGTAAAGAGTGACTTAAAAAAATCACTGTATTATTCTTATATAATCAACACCATTTCTTTTGTCTTTGTATTTGTCTTCCCTTGCTGGGATGAATAACTGTACGTTGACTAGAGGATGATAAAAATAAGACATATTCCAACATGTCTTTCCCACAACTGTTCCAACACCGGTTCAGTAATTGAGCAGAATT